TTTTAAAAAACGTTTTTTGTGTTTTTAAAAAAAAAAAACTTTTTTGTTAGTTTTTTAATAAACTAAATTTTGCGTTCACGCTACGTGTGAGTATTTTGTTGATAAAATTTTTATGCAAACAATTATATTTATATTTTTTTGAAAATATGTTAAATTATATTTTAAAAAAAAACTGTTTGCTTTACATAATCTTTGTCAAGAGAGTGAAACTGGATTTAGATTCTGGAGTTGAACCATATTTCAAGTCCGTCGATATAGCTGTAGTCGCCTACAATTATATTTATTAAGATATTAATTTTATATATTAGTTTTTTAATAATATATTAAAAGTATTATGGTGTTAATCTAATAACTTTTTATGTAAATTGTGAGGCATTATTTTTATTGTTGTTATATCTGTTTTTCAATGAAAACATCATATTTATTTATTTTAATGATTTTGTATGATTATATTCAATTTTATCATATTTATTCTCATTTCTTCTAATTATAATTAAGTAAGCAAAATCAGTATAATTTAATACATTCAAATATAAAAATAAAATAACAAATTGAACAACTCAAAACTAAGAATTTTTACATTAATCTAATGCAATTCCAAGTTGAATATACAAAATGTAATTTTTGATCATTTTCGCATAGTATATTATATGAGACTATTTGAAAATATGTTTTGCATATGTGAAAAAATTTAGATGAATATAGATCATTATTATTAGTTATTTAAAATTCTATGTGAAAAACCTTAGAATCAAGTATCTTAAACTTGTATAAGTAGTATATATTTTTTGATAGATATTAAATTAATTTTGTAATTAAATAATGATAATAGAAATTTTGATATCATGTTGGCTTTTTTTTGTTAATAGAGATTTTTATTTATTTTATTTATTTATTTTCTTAATTTTTAATATTAGAATTATGAAACTTTTTTAATTTACAATTTTTATATATATGAATAAAATTAAATTTTTAAATGCTGATATGGATGCCTTGAAAATAATATAGCTTTAACTGTTATTAGTGAAAGAATAATTTTTATTATATTGTTTTGTATTAAAAATATAATTTTATAATTTAGAAACTTTTTTTAATTTTAATTTTTGATGTGAGCTAATAAAATTGACCTTTTAAATCTTATGTGGATGTTTTTAGAGGCATGTAGTTTCAATTTTTATTTTTCTATAAATATAATTTTCGTTAACAATATTATTTTTAAATTTATAAATTTTAATTAACAATTTTAATATGGACCAATAAAATTAAACTTGAAATCATATGTGGACATTCTTAGAGGCATATAGCTTTAATTATTAATAATAAATTTAGAAATCAAAGCTGGAAGATCCCACAGAAAACCCGTTGCGGCAAGTGATTTTGATATTTCTTTCTTGTTTTGAGGCTTACCAAATGTATTTATATGTTGCTTGGTCAGCTAATTGTTACCTTTGTGACTAAGGTTAGGTTGTTAAAACCCCATCAAATACCATGTTATTTAAAAAAACTTTCTTGAATACCTTAGTCACCTTCTTCTTAATGATATAATCTCTTTATCTATTTTTAGTGTTTTGTTTTTCAAAAACTCGAGTATCAATTACTTGACATGTTTCTCGGATTGCTTGGAATTTATCATTCTTCTCAAATTCGGTATTTTGTTGATAAAAATTTTATGCAATTAATTATATTTATTAAGATATAAATTGAATATATTAATGTTTTAATAATATATTAAAATATAATAGTGTTGATCTAATAATGTTTATGTAAATTGTGATGTTTGAACGGTTTTGTTTTGAATCTATATACAGTATATCATATTTCAAAAATGTATTATTTGGTCAAACACTTATAAGTTAATATACCAAAACCAACTAAAATTTTTACAAATTAATCAAATGTTACTTTTTAAACATCATATTAACATGATAATAAAATATTATACATTCACTTCTTTAAATCAAGAAGATAATTTTTTTCCATCATTTTCACTTTTATTTTAATTATATATATGTTCTTAAAAATAATAATAAAAAATAAAATTTAATCTTTTTTCTTCTATTGTTTAACAAATACAAATTTTTATTTTGATATATTAATTTAAAAAACATACTATTAAATAAAATATTTGCTTTGAGATTAATAACAACTTTAAATTTGAAACTAAAACAATAGTTGAATATGAAATGAATAAAATCACACAAAATTTGTAAATAAATATATTTTTGTCAATTGGTAGTGTAAACTTTTAAATAATTTTTCAATGATTATACGTCATCTTTTCTAATAAGAATGAAATTTGTTTTTCATCTTCTTCATTTTCATTCTTGTTATAATTGTTTTGTCAATGAATTTATCATATTTATTTATTTTAATAATTTTTGTATGATTATATTCGGTTTCATCATATTCATTCTCACTTCTAATTGTAATTAAGTATGACAAAACCAGTACAATTTAATACATACAAATTTATAAAAATGAAATAACAAATTGAACAACTCAAAACTAAGAACTTCTACATTAATCTATTGAATCCCAAATTGAATATATAAAATGTAAATTTTTGATCATTTTTGCATAATATATTACATGAGAAAAAAATATTACATATTTTCGCATAATATATTACACATTTAGATGATATGGTTTGCATATGTGAAAAAAATTAGATGAATATAAATCATAAATATTAGTTATTTGAAATTCTATATGAAAAACTTTAAAATCAAGTAACTTAAACTTGTATAAGTAGCATATATTTTTTATAGATAATAAATTAAATTTTTGATTTAAACTGTGATAATGGAGATTTTAATATCATGTTGGTTTTTTTTTGTTAATAGAGATTTCTTTATTTTTTTAATATATTTTTTAACCATAATATTAGAATTATGAAACTTTTTTTAATTTATAATTTTGATATATACTAAAATATATGAATTTTTAAATGCTGATGTGGATGCCTTGAAAATAATATAGTTTTAACTGTCATTAATAATAGAATAATTTTAATCATTAATAATAGAATAATTTTAATTAACAATTTTTCTTATATATTTTGTATTAACAATGTAATTTTATAATTTAGAAAAAAATTTAATTTAATTTTATGTGGATGTCTTTAGAGTCATATAGCTTCAACTTTTAAAAAAAAAATATATTTGTTTGTTAACAATATAATTTTAAAATTTAGAAATTTCTTAATTTTGAATATCGATGTGGACCAATAATAGAATTGAACTTTTAAATCATATATGGACATTCTTAGAGACATATAGCTTTAACTTTTATTAGTAATATATTTAGAAATCAAAACTGGAATATCTCATAGGAGGCCTGTTACGGCAAGTGATTTTAGCCTCTCCTCATTGTTTTGAGGCTTACCGAATACATTCAGTGCTGCTTGGTCAGCTAATTGTTACTTTTGTGGTTCATGTTAGATTGTTAAAACCCATTCAAATGCTATGTTATTTCAAAAAATTTCTTTCAGATACCCTACATTTATCATTCTTCTTAAATTTGGTGGCGAAGCTTTGGAGATTTTACGATTTTATTTTTTAATATTAAAGCGGCTTGTAGTGCTTTTGTTTATATCTTCTTTCATTATATTCTTTATAATTTAGCTAATAATTAAACATATAGTTTGGTCAAGTTTGTTATTGTAGTGGTTTTGTTATATCTTATTTCATTATATTCTTTGTAATTTAGCTATTAGTTAAACATATAGTTTAGTCAAGTTAGTTCTTTTACGTTGTAATGATTCATTTTTTAGTGAAACCTTACTCTATCTTTTGTTTTGTTTATTTTACATGGTTGCACACACAAGAAAAAACAAAACTTAAAATTTATTATAATTATGTGACAACAAAATTGGATGCTAATGTAAAAGTCTCTAAATATGTGTGTATATATTTAATTTAAATTTAAATTTTCCTATTTTAATATTATTATTATTTTTATTATTAATATCAATTTTATATATTATTTATTTACTTTTAATAATTTTAAAAACAATAATAGAATTTGGAAAAATTTCAATTATCAATGTTGAGGTGGACCAATAAAAAATTTATACACACATTTTTCAATTTTCAGTATTGAGATGGACTAATAAAAAAATGTTTCTATTGGTCCAATAAACTTTCTTAATTTCCCTTTTTAGCAATAATATTACAATTTGTAAATTTTCCTTAATTTTGAATATTGATGTGGACTAATAAAATTGATTTTTTAAATCCTATGTGGACATCTTTTTAATTTCCTTATTTTAATATTATTTATTTATTAATATCAATTTTATATATAATTTCTTTGCTTTTAATAATTTTAAAAACAATAATAGAATTTAGAAAATTTTCAATTTTCAATGTTGAGGTGGACCAATAAAAAATTTATACATATTTTAATTTTCAGTGTTGAGGTGGACCAATAAAAAAATTTTATTGGACCAATAAACTTTCTTAATTTTCTTTTTCAGCAATTATATTACAATTTATAATTTTTTCTTAATTTTAAATGTTGATATGGACCAATAAAATTAATTTTTTAAATTTTTTGTGGAAACTTTCTTAATTTCCTTTTTTTTAACAATAATATAATAATTTGTAAATTTTCTTTATTTTTGAATATTGATGTGGATCAATTAAATTGATTTCTTAAATCCTATGTGGACACTCTTACAAGCATTTAGCTTTAACTTTTATTAGTATATATATATATATATATATAAGATAAGATTTTGGTTTTATAAAATTTTAAAAATAGTTTAATTAATTACATAATTAAGCATAAACCATAATAATTTAGACCGGTTTGTTTTAAGTTTTTTTACACATCATCAAATAAGAACCAATAAAAAATGGACACGTAATTGTAAAATAAGGTTAAACGATTTTTGCAGCCGAAACTCATATGGAGACACGTAAGCAAATCACTATACAAATAAATATATAGATTATATTCTTTTTCCCGCTTTTGCTTCTTTCTACTCTCAGTCAGTGATGATGAGACCGATTTCGAACAACGGATTAGTTTACAGGCACAGCCTTTGTCTCAGATGCTCAAAGTTTTTTACTTCGCTTGCCATGGCTAACGACGAGGTCGATACCCAGACAACAACACCAAATTTTCTAGAGACGACGAGCACAGCTATCTTTAGATGCAATTCTCAGATCTCGAAGCTCGCAAGAAACGGGAATCTCCAAGAAGCTGAAGCTATTTTCAGACAGATGTCACAGAGAAGTATAGTCTCTTGGAATGCGATGATTTCGGCTTATGCGGAGAATGGTAAGATGAGTAAAGCATGGGAAGTGTTTGATGAAATGCCTGTGAGAGCTACAACCTCTTATAATGCTATGATTACGGCTATGGTTAAAAACAAGTGCGATATAGGAAGCGCTTATGATTTGTTTCGTGCTATACCTGAGAAGAACGCCGTGTCTTACGCAACGATGATTACCGGTTTCGTTCGGGCAGGAATGTTTGAAAAGGCGGAATCTTTGTATACTAAAACACCAGTGAAGTTTCGTGATCCTGTTGCTTCGAACGTTTTGTTGAGTGGCTTCTTAAGAGCAGGGAAATTGAAGGAGGCTGTTCGTGTTTTTGAGGGTATGGTAGTGAAAGAAGTAATATCATGTAGCTCAATGATTGATGGATATTGCAAAATGGGGAAACTCGTTGATGCTAGAAACATTTTTGATGGAATGGCTCAGAAAAATGTGATTACTTGGACTGCTATGATCGATGGGTATTTCAAAGCTGGGTTTTTTGAAGATGGGTTTGGTCTGTTTCTGAGAATGAGACGGGAGGGAGATGTCGGTGTTAATGCTAACACTTTGGCTGTCATGTTTAAAGCTTGTCGGGATTTTGTCAGATACCGAGAGGGAAGTCAGATACACGCGTTAGTTTCACGGATGCCTCTTGGGTTTGATCTGTTTCTAGGGAATTCATTGATTTCGATGTACTCTAAGCTTGGTTCTATGGGCGAGGCCAAAGCAGTGTTTGGCGTGATGACAAAAAAAGACTCTGTTTCTTGGAATTCCTTGATCACGGGTCTTGTTCAGCGCGGACAAATTTCTGAAGCTTATGAACTTTTCGAGAAGATGCCGAAAAAAGACATGGTATCTTGGACAGATATGATCAAGGGGTTTTCTGGAAGAGGAGAAATTTCTAAATGTGTAGAGTTGTTTAGGATGATGCCTGAGAAGGACAGCATAACATGGACTGCTATGATATCTGCTTTTGTGAGCAATGGATATTACGAGGAGGCGATTTTCTGGTTTCATAAGATGCTCCGGAAAGAAGTTCGTCCTAATTCCTACACTTTCAGTAGTGTGCTCAGCGCAACAGCTTGTTTGGCAGCATTGATTGAAGGACTTCAGATCCACGCTAAAGTTATGAAGATGAACGTGGCGAATGACTTATCAGTTCAGAATTCATTGGTATCGATGTATTCCAAATGCGGAAACACGAATGATTCTTACAAGATCTTCTCATGCATCAGTGAGCCCAATGTTGTTTCTTATAACACGATGATCAGCGGGTTTTCTTATAATGGTTTCGGGAAGGAAGCGCTTAGATTGTTTTCAGTATTGGAAAGTACAGGAAAAGAGCCAAACGGTGTTACCTTTCTTGCTGTACTATCAGCTTGCGCTCATGTTGGATACGTAGACTTAGGATGGGAATACTTCAGATCAATGAAATCTTCGTATGGCATTGAACCAGGACCTGATCATTATGCATGCATGGTTGATCTCCTTGGAAGAAGTGGAATGCTTGATAAAGCATATCACTTGATCTCATCAATGCCTTTTGAGCCTCATTCTGGGGTTTGGGGCAGCCTGCTTGGTGCAAGCAAGACTCATGTACGTGTTGATCTTGCAGAGCTTGCTGCTAAGAAACTGATTGAACTTGAGCCTGATAGCGCAACACCTTATGTGGTACTGTCCCAGCTATATACAATTGTTGGGAAAAACAGAGATGGTGATCGGATAAGGAATCTAAAGAAATCGAAAAGAATAAAGAAGGATCCCGGGTCTAGCTGGATCATATTAAAGGGTGAAGTACATAATTTTCTTGCAGGAGATGAATCTCATTTGAATCTGGCAGAGATAACGGTCACACTACAGATGATGGAAAAGGAAATGGAATTGATTTCTCTCAGCCATGGTCGTAGTTTTCAGTGAAGCAAGGTGCAATATTATCATTTTTCTTCACTTTTTACTTCACCAAAAGAGAGCACGAAGCACACTGGATCCCCTGTAAAAACTAAAGTTTGTCCTCCTAGCAAGATGATATGTGAGCTCCTGATCCTCCTTCTATGAATCTTTTCTATGTTTTCGATTTAAATGTGATATACTTCACACATTTGCTTCTAAATAATGGATGGGTTTGTGTATTTATTCTTCACAGTGAAGCCTGTAAACTGGTGCAGAGGAATTATCCGTACCTGAACCAAGCTCTGTTATTGAGGTATGAGGTTTTATTTTAATTTTGGAGTTGATTTAATGGATAAAAAATATAACATTCATTAATTACCAATTATGTTATCTTATTTTTTACTTCTTCATATCATAATTCTTTGTTATTTATTTTGTTATGTGGATAACTGTTTGTTTATTTACTTAACTACCTATCCTTTTCCAAATAGAAAACAATAATTATATATATGATTTTAGGTGAACTCTCTCCATCATACTGCCACATCAGCATCTGAATGGAGGACACCTGTCCTTAGTTTCATTTAATTAATAAATTTTAAATTTTAAAATAAAAAATTAAAAACTAATTAATACTACTATTTCTAACTTAAATATTATATTTAATATTTATTTCATATGTATTTATGTTCATAACTATTAAGTTACATTAATATTAAGAATTTTTAAATTCTTAATAAAAATAAATAAACAACATTTCTAATTTTTTACATTTCTAACTTTTTGGTATTCGTCTAAAACTTTTAAATATTTTTTATACTAACTTGATATTTTTCTTCTGGTTTATCCTCATTATAAACACTTTTTCGAAGTTTGTTGTATGAAAAAATGTAAAGATGTAGCGTTATCTTCATTCAAAGATTTGATGATTTTTATGGATCAAATATAATATTATTATAGCTGCATTTTATTGTGAAATATAAAGTATGGGGTAGTTTTTGCAGAATTAAGGAAATTGTACATGTCATAAATTTGAGAACATTAAAAATCTGAGGTAATTATATGTTTTCAAGTAATTCAACCAGAAAATATGACTTTTATCTACGTCTTTTTTACTCATATCATGTTTATGATTTCTAGAATAGTAGAATAATTTTCCTAATTACCATACTTCCAATCCTTAAAAAAAAGTTATTTGTTTTATAAAGAATTTATTTTTTAAAAAACTAATACTAAACAGTCAAACAAATTACCATATTCTTATAATTAACTATATATATATATATCAACACATATATATTTTTTAAAATATTATGTGAAACAAAATCTGCGCGTATGCGCGGGTACAAGTCTAGTTGACTATAAATACGGTTGCACTGATTTTTGAAGTTTATAGGATTCTGGTTTTCCTTATTGCAGAGACCAGAGAGAGATCATGGAGAGTTATTTTATTGGCTGGATAGCTTCCGGTTGTATTTGTTTCATTATTCTCGTGTTTGCTTTATTGTTGATTTGTTTGGAGAAGGAGACAGTCACTAAAGAGCCTGCGCATAAGCCCAACAATCAGAGAAGCAGAGCTGTACGAAGCAGCAATGGTCAGTTCATGTTTTATCCAGCGGCTGCATCTCTCCCTATTACCTGCGGCGGTGGTGGTGGTGGAGGATGTGGTGGCGGCGGCGGACATCACGGTGGTGGTGGCGGACATCACAGTGGTGGTGGCGGACATCACGGTGGTGGTGGAGGAGGATGTGGTGGCGGTGGTGGTGGTGGTGACGGTGGCGGCAGAGGAGGCGGATGTGGTGGCGGCGGATGAATTGGATATGTACAAGGATTTCTAGTTAGATGATGCCGGCGATAATTATGGAAGATTTTTTTTTTTTAGTTTTTATATCAATTAGATTCGATCAATTGTTAATTAATTCAATACCAATGGATAACTAAAAATTTAACTAAATACAATGGATAACTAAAAATTAAATATATAGGAAAGAGAAAACAAAAAACAACCAAAAAATCCTTCTTCTATTGCATATTTACACAAATGCCATTTATCTGAGATTTTTGTTTTCCGACAAGATATGTCGGTAATACTGTTTATCGCTAGCTTCTGATGATACTATTCATCATCTTTTTTTTATCGACATATATTGTTCATCATCAAAAAATTATATACATTTTGAAAATATGGTGGTTAACTATTCATTTAACATGATAACTAGTATATCACGATAAATTTATATGATTGACATGATAACAATTATATATACATATGATATAGAATAATACAACAACGAGCTTACATTTAGATAAGATGTTAACTTTTAATAAATAACTATTTGTTAACATGTTAACACTAATATCTGATACCTATAACATGTTAACAATAATATATGAGATTTGTTAACGTGATAACAATAAGATATGAGGCTTATTAACGTGTTAACAATATTATTTGTTATTTGTTAACGTGCTAACAAATAATATATGATATTTTGTAACATGCTAACAATAAAATTAATACCTGTTAACGTGGTAATAAAAATAATTTTTGCTACGAAACATTACTCACTTATTTATACGATTTTTTTACTAGTCTTTTACTACTACTTTCCTAACAATTTCTCACCAATATAATTTTATAAAAATCAAAAACTAAATTAATTTCAAAACTTGAATTTAAATTAAAATATAATTTAATTATAAATTTGATTAATGAAATATATACAAAAAAACAAAATAAATTCTCTAATTACTATTAGCCTAAAATTTGATCTAATAATTATTAACTAGAGGGAGAGAAGGTGAAAACTCTTATTTATAGAGCAACTTCTTCAATAAATTATCTTAGATTGTCGATGTGGGACAAACCCAAAAACATAGTTTCCTACGAAATTCTTATGATTTTTCTACAAACCATATTTCGTAGGAAATCCGTAGAAAAATTTTAATTTTGTTATATTTATATAGTACAGTTTCTTCATCTAAATTCTTAACTTTTCGATGTGGGACAATACCTATTTTCCTACAAAATTTCTACGATTTTTCTACAAACAATATTTCGTAGGAAATCTGTAGGACAATTTCCTATGAAATTTCCACGAGTGTAACAGTTAATTGGATCCTATAACTTTCCTACCAAATTTTGACCGTATTTTCTACGAATATAAATTTGGTAGGTTATTGGTTGGATATATCCTACCACTTTTTGACATTTTTTTTGTAGGAAATTGCTTACCTATTTCTTACCACTTTTATTTTTCATCATAATTGCGTAAGACATTGGTGAAAAATATTTTTACCAAATACTTTCGTAGGAACTTTCATAATAATATGGCATGTTTTCTTGTAGTGTTTGTGTATATATTCTTCACAGTGAAGCCTGTAAAAATTCTTTGTTATTTACTTTTTAATATAAAAATTCTTTGTTATTTACTTTTGTATCTAGATAATGTTATTTTATTTTTTTACTTCTTAATATCAAAATTCTTTGTTATTTACTTTTTTTTTTAAATGTGGATAACTGTTTGTTTATTTACTTAACTACTTATAACGTAATTACTTATCCTTTTCCAAATAGAAAACAGATACCTGACTATAAATACGGTTGCATTGGTTTTTGAAGTTTAGGTGATTCTGGTTTTCCTTATTGCAGAGAGAGATCATGGAAACTATTAGCGTTTGAGAGAACTTGGAGAAGAAGAATATGAGAGAGAAAGTTTGTTACAGATATTTTCTCATTAATCCTGTACAATGACCGATTACAAACTTATATACAAATGAGAGAAATGTACTAAACCAGACTAAACCACTATACACAAGTAAATTAAGATAAACCAGCTAAAGGAGACCGGTTCATCATAAACACTATGTACAATCTCCAATAGTCCCCTCAAGATGAGCTGTATATGTTCAATAAGCTCATCTTGGATTTAAGATGCTCAAACTGATGAGAGAACAATGGTTTAGTCAATATGTCTGCAATCTGATCTTCTGTATTGACATGTAGCATCTTCAAAAGACCGCGATCCAGTCTTTCACGAACAGAATGACAGTCATTCTCGATGTGTTTAGTTCGTTAATGAAAGACTGGATTAGAAGCTATGTTAACCGCTGCAGTGCTGTCAAAATATAAGACAGGCGTCGGAGAATCAACTCTTAAGTCCACCAATAGTTTCTTTAACCAAGTGATTTCACGTGAAGCCAAAGATAATGCCCTATACTCTGCTTCAGCTGTGGAATGAGAAACTGTATCCTGTTTCTTGGATTTCCACGAAATGAGAGAGGAACCAAGAAACATACAGAATCCTGTAGTTGATCTTCGAGTATCTTGACAAGAAGACCAATCCGAATCCGCAAAACCCTTCAAAGTGAGATCAGAGTCAGATGAATAGAACAAACCCTGACCTACTGTTCCCTTCAGGTATTGCAAAATCCTGTAAACGGCCTTAAGATGAGTAGTTCTTGGGGCCGATGAGTATTGACAGAGTTTGTTGACAGCAAATGTTATATCTGGCCTTGTGAAAGTAAGATACATCAATCTGCCAACAAGACTTCGATACATGTCCTTATTTGGAAGTAAATCACCATCAAGTTTGGAAATCTTCAGGTTAGGAATCATGGGAGTAGGAACATGTTTACAACCTAACATCCCCGTAGAAGTAAGAAGTTCCAATGTATACTTTCTTTGACATAAAGAAATTCCAGCTTCTGATCTTGCAACTTCAAGTCCCAAAAAGTATTTAAGAGGACCAAGTACTCTTAGCCTGAAATGTCTCTGCAAATCAAATGTCAACTGAGCTGCAACCGCATCATTTGTGCTAGCTATAATAATGTCGTCAACATATACTAGCACAGCAAGGAATTCACCATCTTTACAGCTCTTGACGAACAATGTATGATCACCTCCACCCTTTTCAAACTGCATCTGCAACAATACTTCAGAGAACTTCAAAAACCATTGACGTGATGCTTGTTTAAGGCCATATATCGATCTCTTAGGCCTCAAAACAGCATTCTTTGGCAATGAGTCCCCCTGTCTCTCAGCATATCCTTCAGGCAATCTCATATAAATCTCCTCATCAAGATCTCCATTGAGAAAAGCATTAGATATATCAAGTTGATTGAGAGACCATTTCTTCGATGCAGATACTTTCAACAAAAATTTAACCGTAGCTAGCTTAGCTACAGGGGAGAAGGTATCATTGAAATCCAAACCTTCCTTCTGAGTATACCCTTTAGCTACAAGCCGTGCCTTATACCTTTCAAGGCTTCCATCAGCATGAAACTTGAGCGTAAAAACCCATCTACATCCAACAGGTTTCTTTCCAGGTGGTAAAGTGGTAACATCCCATGTGTTTGAAATTTCCATAGCTCCGAGTTCTTTGTCAACAGCATCACACCATTCCTTAGAAACCTTTGCCTCAGCGTAAGTATTGGGAATGGGAATCTTTGTGATGTTATTGATAAAGTATTGGTGAGACGAGGATAATTTGGAATAGGACTGAACAGAGGAAATGGGATAAGATATATCAGAGTTCATAGAGTAACAATGATAATCTTTTAAATGAGCTGGGAGTTTTGTGGGTCTATGTGAAGGAAGAGAGGTATTAGAAGTTGGTGATTGGGAAGGAAATATAGTTGTTGAAGAGGTGACTGAAGGCAAAGGTTCCACAGAGTCGAAGAAGTCCGAGTGTTCCTTTGATTCTGTCGTTTTGACAAAAGGAAAGATTTCTTCATGGAACACAACATTTCTGGAGATGAAAACGTTATGTGTCTCCAAATCCAAGAGCCTGTACCCTTTATAACCCGGAGGATATCCCAGAAAAATGCAAGCCTTTGAGCGAGCTTCAAATTTGTGTCTTTGTTTAGGAGAGGTAGACACATAACATAAGCAGCCAAAGGTATTGAGTAACTTATAATCTGGAGCTTTACCAGTAAGAAGTTCATGAGGAGTTTTGTTATGTAACAGCTGAGATGGTGTTCTATTTATTAGAAACACGGCTGTAAGAACACATTCGCCCCAATAAGCCAAAGGAACCTGAGACTGAAACATCAATGATCTCGCAACGTTCAAAATGTGTTGATGCTTGCGTTCCACCACTGAGTTCTGCTCAGGTGTCTCAGGACATGAATGATGAGAGATGATACCCTTTGACTGATATAGTTGAGTGAATCTTAATTCAGGAGCATTATCCGATCTCACTGCCTTGACCGTAGTTTGGAATTGATTCTCAACCATGTTAAGAAATGCAGGAAAGACATCTAGCACCTCATTCTTAGTTTTGAGAAGATAGATCCAAGTTGCTCTTGAATGGTCATCAACAATAGTTAAAAAATATCTATATCCATCCACTGTTGCAACTGAAAAGGGGCCCCAAATGTCAATGTGTAACATCTCAAGAGGATTATTACAAATATTGTTTTGAGAAGGGAAAGGAAGTTTCTTCTGCTTAGCCAAATGACAGATATGTCAGAAAGAATTCTTCTTATTCTTGTGTTGAGTAATCCCCAAAACGTCAGATATTGTGTCTAGACGAGCAAGAGAAGGATGACCCAATCTGTTATGCCACACTCCAATGTCCACAACAGCATTCACCTGCAATCTCTGCACTTCCAGCACATATAAGTTGGCAATCCTCTTACCCATTCCAATCATCAACTCCTTGGTACTGTCCTGAATTTCACATGAAGAAGCATCAAAAATCACTCGTGAATTCAAGTCAGTGGTCAAAGAACTGATACTGATCAGATTAAGGCGAAACTCAGGTATAAACAAAACATTACGAAGAGTAATATTTTGGTTAATCTGAATCACACCTATCCCACTAATCTTCACATTCGAACCAGTAGGCAAATTCACTGAACTATCAACGGATGTGTCCAAAGATTTGAACATGGATCTATCGTGAGACACATGATTTGTGGCTCCGGAGTCTATGATCCATGTATGACGAGACATAGATGTCTTGGAGACAGTCAGTATCCCAGCAAAATGGAAGGTAGAGGAAGAGAATTCAATACCAGATGGAGAAGATGTAGATGGAGTATTCGATGATGTGGCGATCTCATGTGGAGAGTTCAGAGATTGACTTTGCAGTTGAGAACTGAAGAAGGCAATAAAGTTCTGAATCTGATCTTTAGAGAGATTACCAACCAAGCTTTCCATACCAGTAGATGCAACTGATGATTTGGAATCATCACCAGAAGCTAAGGCGACCTGAGCAGCAACATTTGGAGTTTTCTGAGACTTGTCGCTGGATTTGTTGCCTTTAGGAGTGAAACCTGATGGAAAACCATGTTTCTTGTAGCATCTATCAGCAATGTGACCAACTCGGTTGCAGTATGAACAAATAGGACGTCCTTTGTTAGGTCCATTTTGAACATAGCAAACCGTTGAAGACGCCATTGATGTGGGAGTTTCTGCAGTCACCTGAAAAGCAACTGGAGGAGGTAGTTGATTTGAAAATCCCTTTTGGCTGTCATCTTGATCAAGGATGTGATAAACTTCTGGAAGACTTGGTAAAACTTTCTTCGCAATGATCTGACGACGGTTCAAAGCATAAGAATCATTCAAACCAGCTAAGAACTTCACTATCTTGGATCTCTCTGCCTTCAATTGCAGACGAGCTGCCTTTCCACAAGTACAGGGATCATCCGGTTCATCAGTATTCTCAAGTTGATCCCACAATGTTCTTAGCTGTGTATAATAGTCAGATAGAGACATAGAACCTTGACGCAAGTCCTGGATCTCTTGTGTCAAGTTAAAAGTCCGAGGGAGATTTGTCAGATGAAATCGACTCAGAAGATCTTTCCATATATCGGTAGCATCATTCATACGCAAAACACTACGATATATCTGTGAAGAAACTGAGTTAAGAAGCCATGATTTCACCATACTATTGTATCTAGACCATAAACGAAACTGAGGATCTGTTTCCATAGGACGCGGAATCGATCCATCAATGAATCCAGTTTTGTTCTTAGCATCTAGAGCAATAAGCACAGCGGCATTCCAGTCATCATAGTTCGTACCGTCTAAACGAAGAGAAATGATGTTTAAACCTGGATGATCACCACTATGAAGGTAGAATGGAGATTGAGTCGGATCAGAACACATCGACATTGTAAAAGCTCGCGAGACACCTGCGGAATCATCAGGTTTAGATATCGGAGAAGAGCCAGCTACATCGACGACTGTTTGAGTTGACCGACGTTTAGGTGTTGCATCAGAACGAGTCATGGATCGAGTTCGAGTTGAGCGACGAGGTAAATTCTTCAAAGACACCATTTCTAAGTGAAAGTGAGCTTGAGAAAGCAGAAAATGAGCTTGAAAATGGTAAATTCAAAGAGTATGAACGAGAAATTGGAGCTTTGATGGCTCTGATACCATATTAGCGTTTGAGAGAACTTGGAGAAGAAGAATATGAGAGAGAAAGTTTGTTACAGATATTTTCTCATTAATCCTGTACAATGACCGATTACAAACTTATATACAAATGAGAGAAATATACTAAACCAGACTAAACCACTATACACAAGTAAATTAAGATAAACCAGCTAAAGGAGACCGGTTCATCATAAACACTATGTACAATCTCCAATAGAAACTTATGTTATTGTCTGGATAGTCTTTGGTTGTATTGGTTTCATTATTTTTGCGACTGCTTTAATTTTATGTTGTTTGGAGAAGAAGAAGACAGTCACTAATGGACCTGCGCAGAAGCCCAACAACCAGAGTAGCAAAGCTGTAATAAGCAGCAATGGTGGCTTCATGTTGTATCCACCGGCTGCATCTCTGATCACTCCGGCCTACTGTTTCTGATTCCAACCAACATCACCATCACGGTGGCCATCATGGTGGTGGTGGTTGTGACGGCGGTGGACATCACCGTGATGGCGGTGATGGAGGAGGATGTGGCGGCGGCTGCGGAGGTGGATCTGGTGGCGGCGATTGAAGTTGGATATGTACAATATAACGATTTCTTTAGATAGATGCCTGCTATAATTAGGATAGGTTTTTTTTTTAAGTTAATATTTTTTTTTGCGGTTTTTAAGTTATTATTTCAATTTGGATTTTGATCACTTTACTTAATTAAAAATTAAAAAGTATTAGGTATCAAAGTTAGATTTGGTTATTACAGTTCTTATCTTGCCGCCATCTTTCTTAGGTAAACAGATGATGGTACTACTTGTGTCAAATACTATCAATTAATTTATACTACTAAATATTAATTATGATTTCACTTATTTGTATTTTGATCTTGAAGTACAAGTTGCACTACACAGTATTATCTTAATTGTGCGTTATGTTTAGCTTATCTTGAAAATATCGTAATCAAGGACTACGGGGAAATATTCTTAATATTGCATAATTCGGTTACTTACTTATTCCCATTTGAAATAATTTAATTTATCTATAGATACATATAGATACTGCATACTAGGGCATACAGTTCCCACATCCTCAAACGCTATACATTTGGGTTCAAAAATAAACTTCACAGAAGGAACTTATGTTGACCTAGCCATGATTACAAAGAAAAGGAAGAAATTGCAAATATATGGAAGTTTGGAGGAGTGATAAAATTAAACTATTTTCTTGACATTTGTTGCAGACAAACAATTCACAGTTATACATATCTTTCCTCTTCACCTTATGATACACTATGTATATATCAGTTACTATACATTGAATTTGCACTCTCAACATGCGTTATGCATAGATAAAGAGTTATTATCACACCCACAAAAGAAAAAAAAAACAAAATTCATAACATATCTATAAGGAAACCCTTAACCTCCACAGCCACCGCAACCTCCACAACCGCCTCCACCATCTCCTCCACCATCATCACCACCTCCACAACAACAACCGTTACAATCGCCACCACCAGCAGAATCTACGGTGGTTACAGCCGCAGCTACGGCAGCTGAAGCGGAAACATTCCTTGTCAAAACAACAAGGCCTCCATCTTTTATTCCGATTTTACTCATTTCCAAATCTCGAGGCTGAGACTTTAACGGCTTTTTTCCCCTGTGGGTGAGGACACAGCATAAGACAAGGGCCGGGAAAACAATACCGGCACATACTATAATAATGACAATAACAAAAGCATCCATTATAATTAGTATTTCTTTTTTTGGGAAATGGATTTGATACCAAAAAGATGCGAGAATTATGTCCTTTTATAGAAGGTTGATATCACCTATTTAGTTTCTTAAAGATACACGAAATTGCAGATGAAATTTCGATTTTACTAGCAAAAATTAAGAAATGCGACATTTTCTTCTTGACTACCTTTTCTTTTCAATAATATTTTATAAGTTACCATTCTTCTTGGACTTCAAAGCTTGCTTTGAGTTTTTCACTTACACAACTTGGTTTGATGTTTCTGCTCATACAGGAGAATATTCGATTATTCTAGGTCATGTAAGCAACTGCTATTTAAAAGTACGATTTTAGTTTTCTAAGATTAGTATATATTTTTGATTGTGTTTTTGTATTAGGTTTCATTCCCTGTAATTAATAATTACTTTTTTCGGTTATTCACTTTTTATATGTAACGAACAAGTATCATTTTCAAAACGAAATATGTATATGAGTGATAAAAAAATTGAAGAAAACTTATCAAACTTTTTTTAAAGGTTGCGTTTTTTTGTGCAAGAAAGATTGTATAATACTAGTAGGACCCTAAAAAAATCCTGCGAAAAAGACATAAGAAAAGCTTTGGTAAATCAGAAATTTCTATTTATAAACATTCGAATTTTTTTTTTATAGATTCCTAATACGACCAGGGGCGAAGGTAGCATGTAAGATGTGAGGGCACGTGCACTCACTTAATCTTGATATTCAGATTTTAGTGTAAACAAATAAATTTGAAATCAATTAGGGACATAGTATTCAGATTTAGTGTGAGATTAAAATATTACTTATTAATAATAATCTGAAATTAGGGAACTAAAATAGATTAAAATCTAATTGCATGTAGAAATGTAGCTTAGAACAATTAGATAGCATCATTAATTTTTATAAAATCAAAAGCATTTTTTAGAATTTCGTTTTTCTATGGTTTTTTATTATTTTGTTTTACACATTCTTTCCAAATATTAATTGAAAATATAAAGTATATATATATATATTTGAAATATATTTATACTAATTTATTTGATATCATTATTTATCATTTAATTATTACTAATTTATTAGTAACTGTCAGTATATTTTACCCTTATTTTTACTCACCAAATTTGAGAAAGAGATATTTATTTGTTTTATAGTTTCCTATAAAAGAACAAAATATTAGTTGTAATCGGTGTAATTTTTCAGAAATGAAAAGGAATCTCCTCATTCCTTTGGTCACCATTAAAAGCACTAATCTTTTACTTCTTAATTATTTTCTAATATCACAATTCTTTTTTTTTTTTAATATCACAATTCTTTGTTATTTAATTAGCTACGTTCCAGTACGGTTGCACTGGTTAAGAAAGAAAACTTGAGATTTTTGAAGTTTATACGATTCTGGTTTTTCTTATTGCAGAGAGAGATCATGGAAGCTTATGTTATTGTCTTGATAGCCATTGGTGGTTTCATCATTCTTGCGATTGCTTTGAAGTTGTGTTGTTTTGCGAAGAAGGAGACAGTCACTAATGGCCCTGTCTCTGGTTCGGGCCAGCCTCATCATCACGGTGGCTATTATGGCGGTGGCGGTTTTGGCGGCCGCGGAAATAACGGTGACGATCATGCTGGTGGTGATGGTGGAGGATATGGTGGTGGTCCTGGTGGACCTGGTGGTGGCGATGGTGGTGGAGGAAGTTAGTTATGTAATTGGGGTATAGTTTTTAAAGGGTTCTTCTTTCCTTTGGATTTGCACTATTTTCTTTTTAATTTTTATTGGATTCTCTTTTTGTTATCTCATTCGATTGAGTTGGACTGGAAAAGATGATGCTGAAACAATAATATGATCCTGTCATTTTTATATGTAATATTGTTCAATTTAAAATTAACTTGAAAATAATTTAAGAAATTATAAAATGTATTAAGACTTAGAAAATATAACTCTATAACCAAACTAGTTCTTTCTGTTGTCTTGTTATATACTTTATTTATTGAAAATTTATAGCTTCTGACAGTTCTGTAGTTTGTGTATTTTAATATTATCTGTTAGTATCTAACTATCTATTGGTATTTCTCTTTCTATATATCTTATAGAAAACCCTATGATATAAAAAAAAATCAGTAGAAAACTATTTTTGGGATACTTTTTTTATGATCATGTGTTTTTTTTGTTGTTGCTAAAGTTGTTTTTTTTTAAACAATAAAATGTGTTTACTTAATTTATTAAATCTCTGGACACGGATTTGGAAGAAAACCTTTATGATCATGTTGAATGTGTCAGATTGTTCTCTAGCGGAATTTGTGGTGAATTTATTTTTAAATAACAAGCAGAATTTTGTTTGTATATATCTTCTTTATATTCAGCTAATAAAATATATGCAAATTATTGCATTAATTACAGGTCGAAGAAAACCAACAAAACAAACTTGCTGATATATGTATATATACGTCTACGGTTCCGTACAAGCAAACCCAAATTATAGCATTCTTTCACATTATCAGATAAAAAGACCTTTGTTTCGTATTTCAGAAAGAAATATATATCACGAAATATTTGAAAGAAACGACGAAAAAAAAACAAGCAACAATCTAAATTTCAAAGTCGCATGGTGGTGGCCGCCGCTTCAGCAGCAGTCGGAGCCGGTGGTACTCGCTTTCCGGCCATCGTTCTTACTTTTGTGGTAACGAAAGTAGAAGAGGCATAAGATGAATATTATCAAGAATATTACTCCAATCACTATGTCCACAATCTTCAAAGGAGTCATCGGTGTTTCTAAATTTTGTCTTAGAGAGAAACAATGATCTCTCTTTCTCTTTATAGATTTGCGAAATTTCTCTTATTATGTACAAATAAGATTTTTAAAGATGAGCCATTTTTAAGACTTTGTATTTGGAAGTTGTTTCGTTCATGGTTGACTTTATTATATTTTTATTAGAATAGAGAATTTAGTTTGGGTAAAATGTGCCGCTTAAGCTTGTTGAGAATTGCCGTTTAACCAGTTTGCTTGACTGAGTCTTTGGCTTGTATATTTCTTTTTTTATTTATTTATTTATTTTATTTTTTTTAAGCTTGTATATTTCTCTTTGAACGAAATACACTTTTTAGAATATTTTGAAGGGTTGACAAACTATTTCTCATAAAAACATTGAAGTCAACTAGCATAAAGAAATGTTTGATTGTTACATATCCCATGGATGGAATTAGTATAGTACAAGTATTACGTAAACGCTGCCAAAAACAAAATATACAATAATTTCATTATATCTATTAAAAATAATACATGTGAAAAGTATTGTACCGCCAACAAATCTTACAAATTTTCTGTTTTAACAGAGTGTTAAACAATGGTAAATCCTTAAGCCAAGATTTACATTGTTCATTCCTCATCCATTTAATCATTTCTTTAATCGTGATATATTGAACTCTAAACAAAAATTCAAAGTTAGTTGTTAATTAAAAGACATAGTGGAAAAAAAACAAACAAACATATCTTCATAGTTTAATAGACAACCCACATATTTGCATAAGTACTTAGAACCATCTTTGACGCTTCAAAACAAACAAAATAAAAACAAAGAAATTGTATGGGAAAATAGATATACATCCAAAACAAATTTTTTTTTTTAAGATACCACATGGCCGCGGTTTCAACCGCCGAAAGCGCCGCCATAACCACTGCCGAGACAGGCGATGCTATCTTTGCCATCCTTCTTAGCTTTGTGGTAGAGAAAGTGAATCAGCCACGAGATGAACAAAAGCAAGAGAAATGCCCCAAACACTATAAACAAAATCTCCAGAGGACTCATTTTGGATTTTCACTTTTCGGACAACGCAATAACAAGACGAGTATATAACTATATATATAGAGATGATGAGCCTTTATAAACTCTCCTTCATTTAGTATTTTGAAGTCAACTCGTTGAGTACCACTTGATTTTATATTATGTTTTATTTCTATTACAAATGGAACCTTACTTGGGGGAGGGGGTTATTCAACCGAGTCTGGTATTTTATTCAGAGGATTGTTTCAATTTTATGTGGTTTATGGTAATCAAATTTTAAAAATGTAAAGAACCAAACTCTAGCTTTTTTCTAATGAAATTTCGAAATCGTTAATATTTTAAGAGTGTTATTTACAACCAATGAAAGAATGTAATTGAGAAACAAAAGATTAAGGGATTAGAAACATAGCATAATTGCTCTTGACAGAAAATAGAGCACAATGGTCATGGACCAGCATTCACGGTTTTGCTTTAATGATTTGTTGTCACTTGTCAGCTCTGTTCGTACTTCAAACCACCTACAAACCTACGGGCCAAGGGATTATTTCATGTAGACTATTTTTTTAATCTAATTTTAAATTATATTTAAGAAAAAAAATAAACGTTTTTACAGTTTGATTGAACTTTTTTATGAACTAAAAGACTAGCCACACATAATTTTGATTATCCAGTGGAAAACCACTCTCAAAGTCCTTCCTCAAATTGCAGGTCTCCACTCCGCCGGATGGAGCGCAGCTGATTCCTTACGTTCTTATCTATCATCTTGGACAGCCTGATCGCCATGCTTTCTATTATTTATTTCCCTCCAGATCGAATAAATGGAGGCTTGAGACGCGTATCCTATCAGAAACATGGTAGTTTTCTTCCTTTTGTGGTTGAATGATGAGCTCTGGAACCTCACTCCACTCGTAGACAAACTGGTCGTTAAGAATTCCTTTTACCAAGCTTTCCCAGACTTCCTTGTTGTATACGCAAGCAAAAAATAGATGGTCTCGAGTTTCCATGGGGTCATTACAGAAGACACATGACGAATTTGCATTCCCATTCCAATGCTGCATTAGATCCCTTGTAGCCAATCTGTTCTTGAACACTAACCAGGATATAAAAGAAAACTTTGGTGTCGCCTGAGCAAACCAGATCTCTTTGGCCCAATTCACTTTCGGTCTCACAGTTCTGATCCTGTGCCATGTCTCCTTGGAGTTGAAACTTGTGCTAGATTTAC